TGGTGAAAGGACACCTTGTGATAGGGTCTAGGCTCTGAACTATAAAGTTTGTAGACTAATGTCAGCTTGGGTATCTTCTAGGACAAGTAGCATAGGATTAGGCGAACTTTGGTAAAAAAGAATAGAATATGGATAAGTATCATAGGGCCAGAGAGTTTAAATAAGTAATCTTCAAATAAATTTTAGATATGGTAGCTAGTGTAAAACCTTCAGATGGACTACTTAAATTAGACAATCTAAAGTTGTATATGTAGCTAGTTGTACTCTCAAAATATATAATATTTACTTAATAAAAAAAATAAAAAAAGTTTCAGCTGATAGTATTTGTAAAAAGTAAAAAAAAAAAAAAAAAAAAAAAAAGTAGTTCACTATACAAATGTTAGGCTACCTGTTAGTACTACACTATGCTACTATACCTGTAACCCATCTGTGAGTTATCTATTTAAGTAGTAATTTGGCTAAGATCAACAGAAAATTACTATATACATTTGAGGTAATTTTGATTATAAACTATTAATAAATAATGTTATACAAAAAGAACAAATGTATAATATTGTAACAATCTACTTAGAAATTATTGTTTTTTATAATACATTATATATAAAATAGATTTACCTTTTTAATTTTGCAAAAAAATTTGCGAATTTGCAAATGTACTGACAGCTTACCTATAAGGAAACAAATGATTTTGAGGAGGTAATATAGTCTAATTTATTAGAACAAATTGAAATTATGAAGTTGTTAATATAGTTTCTGGTATACTATATTTGTTTTTTTATATTAATAGGATTTATTATACAAGAATACCATATTGATTGCTTTAAAATTTGAGTGATTAGGCTTGGATCTGATAGTGAAAAAACATTAATAGAAGTGTTTTTTGGAAATGTTTGCAAGTACACCACTTTGAATTTCTGACTCTTGAGTAGAGAACTTAAATCAGAAGAAGAAAAAGCATTAACAAAGATGCTTTGCAAGAACATCATTCTGACTACTCTGAATCATAACTGGATCAAATTGAGGAAAATACTAGCAAAGACACTTTAAAAGTACACCACGCTTATTTTTTGAAATTTGAAAGAAAATTAGAGAGCTATTTTATAACACTACTCTAATTACTTTGAATCTTGAATAGATAGAAGAAAACATTAGCTAAAATACTTCACAAGTATATTACACTTATAGATGTAGCCCAAACTATTTATGGCAAGTTTAGAATTGGGATTCAGAACATTTTGCCAAAATTCAAATAATGTGCCAAAATCCTGATCTATTACATAGATAATAAAAATAATTGGCTAGAATTTATATCATGAGTATTATTTTGGAATTTTAAAATGCTATATTAGTTTGGGATTTAGTTATAACAAAGTCTCAAACTAGTTTGGTCAGTTTGAGATTGAGCAAGTGCTAAAACTACCAGGTTTGGTTTACATCTCAAATCACACTGACTTTTTGTATTTTAGATGAACTTTAGTTAGAAGAAGAAAAATCATTAGCAAAGGTATTTGTTAATAGCACTGCCTCTGGCTGTTTTAAATTTTAAGAATGTGTTAGCAGAAACACTATGCTAACTTGAATTTTAAATAAGGAATAAGCATTAGCAGAGACGTTATATAAAAACATCACCTAACTACTTTGACAGATATCATGCTGATTTTTTGAATTTTGTTTGAATTGAACTTGATTAGCAGAAAAGAAGCATTAGAAGCTTTTTGCAAAAGATTTTGCAAGAATACTATTGAACTTAGATCACAAGAAAAAAGGTATTAAGAGAATTATATCATAATTATTCTTTGAATTAATGTTGCAATATTATCACAGTACATAATAATTTTGTTCATTCTAACATATAATTGTAACAATTATTTTGTAAAACTAGTTATATTGAGAGCTTCTAAGGTTTCTGCTTCTTCTATAGAACACATAGCCATTGTAGCTTTCCATTTTTTAGAAAACCTACTAATCTAGTTCACTATAGTAGTAATTTTAGGAATATTGTCTGCTTTAATTTTACTATATGCTACACATAGAATAAGATCCTCATGTATTTGTTGAGCAGATATTTTTTGTTGTGAATTTGCAGTACTAGTGTAGAACATTATTTCAAGTAAGGATTTAATTTGTTCTGTTATTTTTTTTGTTAATTCATGTTGAGTTAATTTTTGATTCTCCTTTAGGGCCTATTCATTCAAAAAAATTGTATAGCTAAAAATTCAAGATTATTATTAATACTTACAGTATCATATATTTTTTATAACTACGTTTAATACCTTTGTATATTATCATTTATCAGAATTGTTGAATCTTCTAAAACTGGATTCTATAAAATAGGGTATTTGTTATTTTATTTAAACTCTGTTTTTTTTTTTTTTTTTTTATTTATTTTTTTTTTTTTATATACTAATTTAAGATTTATTTTTGCTTTTACAATATCTTGGGAAATATTAATTAGCATAGACCAAAGTTTATTATTTTCAGTGTGGGCTGTAAAGGTAGGGTTTAGCATATCTAAATTTTGTTTTTTGATAATTTTTATAACTTGTGCAGGTGACTATTTCTTCTATTCTCCAATTCCAGGTAATGCTCTAGCATATATATATCCTATATCATCATCTTAAGACCATACCCATTCATAAAAATTATCGATTCCTGAAAATTTGCCTAATTTGGATTTTTCTTAGGTTTAAGGAATTCATATTAGTTTTTATTCAATTTTAAAAAACAAATTACGTAATATTACCTATCAGTCAGTTTGGCGTAAGGTTTGCTACATGCATTCCAGTAATATTTCTTATAGCATTTGTTATATCTTCTCCAGATTCTATATTCAATTCTAATTTAACATATCTTTTTATAGAATGTAATATCTAAAAAAAAAGTAATACATTATAATTATTCAAAATATAAATAAATATAAAGGTAAAATATACTTATGCATGATGCGAATTAATTGCAGTTTTAGCCTTTCCAGCTTCAAGAAATATTCATTTGTGAGGATGTACATTATACTATTCATGCCATATACTTATTATTATCATTAATTCTGTACAATAATAGTGTCTGCTATTATTTGACAATATAGTAATCCATTTGGGTTTTCTTTCTATCGTTTGTAGAGCAGCATGCAAAGAGGAAGCTGTGAACTATGCATCTTGTCATGTATCGTCTGACCAATAGTCAAATACATAAATATTTAGTTATTGTAGTATAATATCTTTTTGATAAATCAAAATACTATTTAAGGTCTAGCCTCACTTGTTATAAAAATCTCTTTTGATTTCTCGTGCTATTCTTGGTTGAATTCTCATTTTATAATCAATAATGAATACTGCATCATCAATATCTAATTCATCTAAACATACTTAAACTTGCTTATTTAGATAAGTTTTCCGTATGTAATGTGTCATCCAAGCAATTATTTTTTTTTAGTAGGTATTTATAGTTTCATGAAATTCTAATGAGAGATTTGCCTTTAATTTTTCAAAAAATTAAAATAATGCTTCACAGTAGATACAAGTATTTGGATAAATCATCGTTCAGTTATCAAATACATTACTTAAACAATGGCTTATGCAGAGATCATGAAGTGCTTCGTCTACTGAATTTAATATAAATTTCTTGGAATATTCTCAGTTTATATATCGATGTAAGGCTTGCAATTCATGAAGTAATATATTCTAAAAAATTTTTTCTAAATTAACTGTTATCTAAACTAATTTTTTTATATTATTTTATTATTATACCTTTAATATATCATTATCAATATGTGTGGAAATTAAAATATTAATATTACTAATGACCTCATATCCACAATAGTTACAACTTGCGCAAAGCCTTCCAAGATCATCATGAAAAAGAAATCGTTTTCCTTCTAGTCTAGTCATAAATGCAGTTCTACGCATTCTATTAGGATATTGTTTATGAAATCAATTTCAAAGTGCTGTTTTGTGATCTTGTAAATATAATATTGGTAAGCCTGAAGTAGGATCACTTCGATATGAACTCATATTAATATTTTCCTTGTTGGTAAAAAAAATTTTAAACTGATTTATCATTTCTGGTTTGAACTTTAGCTATTTAACAATTGGTTTCTCTATTGCTAGTGCATCAAATCCATTAATTCGTGTATGCTTGTGGGACTTATTAATAATATGATGACCAATCTTTATGAAAAAAAATTGTAATATTTTACTAATAACAAGCAAATAACATATATTTATACAACTTACACCTAAATTTGTTTCTAATTCTGTATAGGTAAAATCATATGCGATAATTGACAAAATATGATGCTTTCTATCAAAAATTTTTTTATTACATTTCAAAACTCAATTAAAACTAGACCAAAATGTTCGTGTTATATTAGGTATATGAATAGGAATACTATTAAGTAATCCTAATTTATAGAAATTTTGTATGGTTATTTTATCTACTTGAGCATTTTCTGATTTACTCCATAATTAATACTTTAAAAAATTAGTTAGTAAATAATAAAGGTATGTTATAATATATATATAATATATATTTATTACCTTTGATTCTTCATGAGACCAAGGTGTGATATTAGTATATCCTGCAGTGCGAAGTATTGCTTGCCATGCTCTTAATTCTCTTGGATTAAATTTATATTTAGAAGGATATATATCTTTTAGTTTCAAATGAAGTTCGATTATATTACTTTTTTTATTAAGCCATGATATAAAAAAATATTGCCAATCTATATTAGAGAGAGTTCTTCATTTAAGATAATAATCAAAAGGCATTTCATTATGTCAAAATCGGTCTATTCATAAGGTAAACAGGTTGTATATTTTGTTGTTGAAGTAATTATTATATTTTTTGATCTGCAAGACCATATAATTGAAAGCTATTAAATTTTTGTATCATTTTAGATTCTTTTTATACAAGATCTAGAGTTGAACTAATAATTGTTCTTTTAATTTGTAAATCTTAATAAATCTCTATAATGCATTTATCATTTTCAATTTTTGATATAAAAAGTGCTGGACGTTTTTCTAATAAATATATAAGTGATGATTGATACCCATTTCCACTATAATTCCAATCAGGTTTTGTTGATGATACTATATTATATATAAAAATTGTAAAGGTTCCAACTTTATATAAAGTAGGATAAAACTCAACATCTTTAAATAGCTATTTTCTTATATTTTTATTATTCTATCTGATAACTTAGAGACCCGAATATTGAGTTTTAGTTTGAAAAACTAACTGATAAATATTCAAAACTACTGCACTAGCACTTAGAGCAGTTAATTCATAAGTTTCATATTTGCAAAAAAAAACTAGTTTCATATTAACTCCAGTTAATACTGTAATATAAAAGTTTTTTCGATTAAAAATCGTATAAGTTTTTTGACCTACACGAATTAGAAAATATGTTTGATCTAATGAAAATTTCTACCAGAATTGTGAATATGAACCATAGTGTAAATTAGAAACTAAAGAGCTATGTATAATTAATGTAGTGTTAATTTCTGAATACTTTGATATTTTTTTTTTTACAAACTATGAGTTGATTTAGATATGTTATTAGACTTTCTATTAAACTTATCTCCAAATTTATTAATTGTTGATCATATGATTTCTGCTAATTTTAGACGAATTATCACTTAATTAAGAAAAAGAAAAGATGTATAGTATTAATATCATCTTAAAAGCTATAATTTTTTTTTGAATTCAGCAATCAGGCTACAACTTTATTTAAAATTTTTGTAATACAAAAACTAACAAAGAACTAAAAAAGCCTTATATATAGTAGTATTTTCTGTTTTCTAAAATATAGCTTCTTCAGTTTTCATATAGACCTGTGAATGACTTGCTATAATAAATATTTCTCTTCCTTTACTCTCTTATATATTTTAATGCTTTGATAGTAAAGATTGAAAGTATAGAACTCATAGCTTATCCTAACTACAATAGCAAGTTTCTAATTATTTCTTCTAAAAGTCTATCTTAAAGAAACAATAAAGAAAAATCTAATTATAACAATAAGAACTAAAAATAAAAATTGTACAGATTTAAATGACTATAATCTATAACTATTATTTATATAAGTAAAAACTTGTTACAGAAAAAAATACTAATATAGAAGTAATAAAAGAAAAGATCTAAAGAAAAAAAAACAAAATACAGATAAAAAAAAAAAGATTGCTCTTTAGCTTAGATCAAGAACAAAAATATTATGTTATAGCAATATAAGTATATCTCATATAATTTCTAACTAAACTCTAGTACTTCTACTGAACTAAACCAAACCAAACTTCCATCAAGTTTGAGTTGGGTTTGAAAATTGAACTGAACTCGAACTCGAACAAAGATTGAAAATATGTTCAGGTTCGAGTTCAAGTCTGATTTTTTTTATTGTATTTGGTTTGGTTCGAGTTCAGTCTGAAAGTTTATAAACATATTTGAGTTCAATAGGATTTTTAGTAAACTAAATATTTTACTAAGTTTAGTTGACTAATTAGTTAACTAAACTTAGTAATAATAGTTAGGTAACTATTTTACTAAATTTAGTCAACTAATTAGTTAACTAAACTTAGCCAAGTAGTTAACTAAAGTCGATCTCAAATAGGTTTTAATTTATATATATATTTTTTTATATATTTTATATTTTTTTATATATTTTTTTATATTTTTTATATATATATTTTTTTTGTTTTATATTTTTATTTAATAATTTAATTATTTATTATTACAGTATCTATAATTTTAAATTATTTAATTA